CACAAAATTCATTGAAGATTTACTTTAATTTGAAAGATTTAGAGTTTAAAGATTTAGGGTTAGGGTTAGGGTTTACAATTTGGGGTTTAGGGATATGACTCAAAATTGGAGGTCCAGGACTTAGGGTAATCCACTAATTAGTTGTTATCATATGTTGTATCATCATATTACACTGATTTTACAAATTAAAATTCAAAATCCGACACCTTAAGAATAGTTTTTGAGTTGGGTGTATTGAACACACTCATTTTTGTGAGTGCACCAAAGTAGTCACTATATATATATATATATATATATATATATATATATATATATATATATATATATATATTCACCGTGACCTGAATGTCGATTCCATTTAATATAATTTTGTTATCGGGGTTGTAGTAGAGTTGTGACTTGTGACAAATGACAATAGAGATATAACAACACAAAATTAGAAAATAAAATTTTATTTAGTAGGTAATTCTGAGACATTTTGCAAGTTGACAATCGGAAATAGAAACATAGTTAGTTACTTCTTTAGACCCCACTTAGCATCAATGTTGAGACTAAGACAAAAGTATGTGAGGAAAAGTAAGTCTGGTGAGGTTTGTTGTGGACTCCCTTGAAAAAAATTATTCCAACAATTGATAAGATCTCATAACAAAGAACAAACAGCTTTGGGAAACAACAAAAAAGCTACTTAAGTGGTTCAACTAATTTCTATTTTTTTTGCCAACTCCTGATGCCATAGCAAAATATGAAAACAGAATTAAACATGTTTTCAATCTCTATTGACACCTATAAAATAGAACCAGAAAGAAATGATACTAAACATTCCCTTAGGAGATGAGACACTTAGGGGTTGGCATATTGACAATCAAGAGTAAAAATTGTATTGAAAAATACTACTCAAATTTAATATATTTTGAGAAATAGTAAATCATATTAATTACATTTTTTGAATGCAACAAGGGCATCCAAAGGAAGAAGCGAGAAGGTCAACACCTCTGCCTTATACGAAGACACCACAATTGAAGAACCATTGAGGCAAGAAGAGGAATGATCATCCAGAGCACCCAATGAGGAGAAAGAACAAGGAACATATAGTCACATTCCTCAAGAGAATCTGAAAACCCAAAGATGGTTGAAGCACCATACCATGAGATTAAAGAAGAACAAAAAAGAAAGATGACATATCCCTAAGGCAATGGATAGAGATGAGAAGAATGATCCATGTTGACGTACCCCCAGTAGACGTAATAGGGAGAATTCCATAATACTCCAAACACATGAAGGCTTCCTAGAATATATGAGAGAATGGCTCGACGCACCCTCAACGAACATTTCTATGCAATAGTGGAGTTTCACTTTGCCTTGCACTATTGACACTGTGAATTTTGATGATTGTCTAACCAATTTAAGAGCTAGTATCAATGTTATGCATGCATGCGTATATCATAAGCTTAAAATGAAGAAATCTCTTGGTCCTACTTGAATGACTAATTGACTATACAACTAGCAGACAAAACCTCTAGACAGCCTAGGGGAGTGTATGAAGATGCTTAGTTAAAGTTGGTCCCTTTGATTTCCTCATCGATTTTTTCATAATGATACTAATGATCATGATTCTACTTTGCTGTAAGGACAACCTTTCTTAGCAACTACAAGAGCTCTAATAGACGTACACAACGAGAAGCTGACACTAAGGATAAGAACCAAAAAGCAGTCACCTTTGACCAAATAAAGGAACGTAAAAACACCTACTAAACATGGGGTAAGGAAGACATCCAGAGATTAGATGAACTCAAGCCATTATTTTTCATCGTTAATATGAAGACCGACAATCCACTAGAACATTGTCTAATACAAGGAGAGGGTGAATACCTCCATGAGCTAGATTAACCTCAGCAAGGAGCAAATGAGCCAATGGGAAATGATGAGCCTGAACCATCGGTGATGAAAACCTCTCAACTGCCATAAATCAAGACATCATACAAAGAGCCACCCGAGCTAGATATGAAGGTACTACCAAAAAATTTGGAAAGCTGCATGAGGAAAGTTGCATGTCATCATAAATGTGACACTATGAAATGATCAAAAGGAGAGGCTAGTGGAGGCGCAAATGGTACAAGAAGGCCATAGCCTGAAAGATCACCGACATTCAAGGGATCCTTCCATCATTATGTACGACAAAATACTAATGGAGGACCATCATAAACTAGTGGTGCAACCCCAACAATGCATGCATCCCCATCTCAAAGAGGTCGTAAAGAAAGAGGTGCTAAAGTTATTAACCGCAGGAATCATATATCCCATCTCAGATAGTAGATGGGTCAGCCTTACATAAGTGGTGCCAAAAAACAAAGGAATGATTGTCTTACCAAATGACAATGGAGACCTTATTCCTACAAGAACCAAAACTGGATGGAGAGTATGCATCAATTCAAAAACCAGATCAGTCATTAGAATTTGAGCTAATGTGACTAGTGATTAATGCATCGATAGTCGAGCTACTGTGCAAATCCATCTTTTTACTATGCTCCTTCTAGAGCCCTTCCTTGAAATTATTCTTATTTGAACCTAAGTCGTCATTACAAATAAGGTAGACAAAGGATTTTTCCTTCAAACATCTCGTTATTTTCAGCCTATGCTTAAGGCTCGCTAACGCCTATTATTTTGGACCCTAACCGATTGTCGTAATCGTTTAGTCGGTTAATCGTTTAATCTTCAATTACTAACCATCTAACGTGGTTAATAACCGCTTTACTGTCGGTTAGTAGTTATCTAAGTTTGGCAATCGGAAATCAACATTTTACTGTTTAATCAGTTATTAGTGTAACCATTAACCATCGGTTCTGATTTGATTATCCGTTACACCGCTAACAAGATAACCGTTTACAAGTCCTAGTGAAGAGAGATCAATAAATTATAAGTAGACTCTTTTGTATCTATAGCGCGAGTAAAATTGGCTATTTGCTCCCTCACTTGATCATTAATCGGTCACTTCCTCAATTTTCTTTTCACTTGATCCAATTTGTATAAAGTTTTACAGAATGGTGTCTTGAGATTGACTCGTAATTAGTATATATTATTCTATTATCAGATATAATTAGTCTTTAATTATAATTATATCAGATAATAAAGGTAAAAATCATCCTTGTCACTAAACTCATTATATTAATTCATGTTCACCACTAGACTCTTTATTAGTTCAATTAAACCACTAAACTTGATATAAAAAGACATCATCTGTCACTTCCATTCCAATCTCATGGATCTTATCGTAAAGGTGCTGGCAAAGCTAACAACGCTGATGTGGCAACATCCCATCGAAGAGCTGTCAAATACTCCATGTCATCTGCTACGTAATCTCCCACTCATCTTATGATAAAAAAGAGTAACAAATATTAATAGAAAGCTAGGTTTAAACCAGAGATCTCTTTTCAAATGAAACACACACACCAATCCATCTTTGCAAGTTGAGATCCTCGATTCAATGTTCCCAACGGGCGGCTCCACCTCGACGGTGATGAGAACTTGAGTGGTTGCCCGCTCCAACGGTGACATTGTGCTGCTGGTGGAAGCCCGTTGCGGGGGAAGAAAAGCTTCATTTATGTCTTTAATTTTTTGTTTAAAATAAAATAATTTCAAATGTAATAAACCCAAAAATTGTAAATTTATGAAAATTAGGAATATTTTATGTTTTTATGCTGACTAGGCGGTGATATGGTCAGTTGACCAACAGTCAATGACTTTGACCATCCAACTTAACGAACAACACTCGAGTTTGACCAGTTTAGTAAAGTTTAGGTTAAGTTCGGGCCACAATGTTATAAATCATAATCATTGGCTAGAACATGGCTAATTATCATAAATGATCACAAAACTATTCACTTTGTACAAAACGATCACAAACCTTTAATTTTGAACATTTTAGTAACATATGTTTGGATTAATAACAAAAAGCTAATTCCGTCCATCTTCATCCAAAAAGCCTGTTACTTCCGCCCAATCATCATGCCACATCATTTAAAATATTAATAAAAAATTGAACTGATAACCCAATCAAAAATCCTAATTCTATACCCAACCACCCGAATTCTTTAGACAGAAATAACCGCCAAGTTCCGCCGCCGGTTCCACCAACTCCGGCACCGCCTCCTCAGCGCGTTCATCAATACCATGAATGCGAAGGGATGAACTATTAAACCCCCTCCCAAAATATCATACGCGGAGAAATTAATAGATTGATTGAAGAAGACAAATCTGGAGAAGAGTCGCCGCCATTGTCGTACTCGGATTCTCATTCGCGTAGTAGGCGTTGTCGAGCATGGTGACTATACATGAAGAAGTACAAACAAACAGACCAACCAAGCAAGAGAAGAATCGAATCATGAAATCAATAGTGGTAGCGTTTAAACGTGGAAAAGGAGGGATCGCAAAATCGGAATTCACAAGGAAAGGGGAATCAGTGAGGAAGAAGAAGGATTAGAAGTGCAGAGATCATTTCGAGATGAAACGACTAATTAACTTTTGCCCCCTTCCAAGGATATCAATACCAAGAATCATAGTGGGGAGGGGAGGAGATGGCGACAATGGTATTCATGAAAGCGGTGGGGAGGCGATGCATTTAATGAATGCATGTATTGTATAGAATGTATCGTTTTTTGTGTTAAAATGAAAAACAATGCATGCATTTCATTGATGATGTGATACTTGAAATCATTCAATATGAATGATTTACAATCTCAACAATTTGGTGAGATTGTTGAGATTGTGTTTTGAAATTGTTCTTCCATTTTCCCCCCTTTATATCTCTATCAACCTTTATGCATTGTTACTCTTCTATGTAAAAGAAAGGGTAAACATAACCTTTTACTTAAGAAATAACTTTCTCATTTTATTCTTAAAATTACATTCACAACTACCAAACAATGTAATCTTATAATACATGCATTTGAACAATACATCAATATTCATACAATAGATCAATTCTAACAATCGCAATACCTCTTAAAAATATATTAACCCAATTACTTTATTGCTTCCCTTTTTCCCGAAGGGAGGGGAAGGTGATGGAAGGCGAGCCCAAAGCAAAGCCGGCGACAGTGGAACATTTCTTTCTTCTCATTTTCAGGCGTTTCTCAGCCAAGTTACTTCTTCTTCACAATAGTACTTGACTGAAAACCAAAACCCAGACGCCATTTGTATTAACTTTCCCTTCCGATACTATTAGCATCGTCCTCCTTTTCCTTCAGCAAATTTCCCCTCTTCTTCTTCCCTTCCTTTCTTTGTGTATGAGCTAAAGTAACAGTCTCTCGCTGCCTATCTGCGGAACCCTCCTTTTTCTTTGCGTGCTTTAATGGAGGAGGCAAATAGTAGTTCGGGTGTAGCAAGCAATGTGGCTCGAGCCATAGTTGCAGCTCTCAACTGGAACTCCACTCCCGATGATCGCAGAGCTGCTGTTTCTTACCTTGATTCTGTAGTCTCTCACAACCCACTTTCCCCTTCGCTGCTCTTTTCTTTAAACTCTCTCAATTCTGTTCTTCTTTGACGATTAGAAACTTTCTGGGTTTATCTGCGTAAGTGGAGGGTTTTCTTGGTTTCTAACAAAAACTTGAGGGATTGAGCAGAAGGGTATGATGGGTTGGTACATTTATTTTCCGCAACAATGGAATAGAGTGAGGAGGGAAGTTACAAATTCTTGGAATTTTTTTGTTCCCTGAGGTTTTGTGAAATGTTGATTGTTGCAGTGATATACTATCAAGGCGGCATTTGTAAAAAAAAAAAAAAAACAAAACTATCAAGGCGGCTCATGGTTAAACTTTGGAGTGTTTTTCTGGTTGCAATGTTGATTGATTCCTGCTCTTCATAGTAGGGTCTATTGCCCCATTGTGTTTGACTGGATTGCTGGTAGTGGCTACCTGTATTTGTCCTCTGGGGCTCCTTTAGTTTAGGAGCTGAATATCGTTTCAGGTTGTTTGGATTGGTTGGTTGTAATGAGAACTTTGGTCAATTGTGAATGTGTGTGTGTGTGTGTGTTTTTTTTTTTGCCATTTTTTGGGGTTTATTAGCCACAGAGTATTGTTTGGTTAAGTTCAGGTTTGGTTGTAGAACTTGCTTTGTGTTTACTGTTAGTGTTTACGTTGTGGCTAGCTAATCCAGTCTTGCTTCTTTGCAGATTAAAACAGGAGATGTACGAGTACTGTTAAACACGTCATTGCTTCTTGTTAAAGAGGATTGGTCTTCTGAAATTCGGTTGCATGCTTTCAAGTTGCTGCAGGTCTGTGGTTTTGTAATGTTGTTCTTTGCTTCCAGAGGGCTTCTAGGTGCTATTTTGTTATATATATTGTTGAGTAGCCTGACTGGAGATCACATTTTTTCTCATGTAAAGGATGAAGGGTCTTTAAGAAATGTTAATTGATTGAAATTATGCCAAGTTGAGTTCGTCTACATTTGTGCAGCATTTAGTTCGGTTGCGTTGGGAGGAACTCAGCTCGATAGAGCGCAGAAACTTTGCGAATTTAGCTGTTGAATTGATGTATGATATGACAAACCATAGTGAAGAATGGCCATTGAAGAGCCAAAAGGCTGCACTCGTTGCTGAGGTTCTTATAACGTTACCTCTAACTGTTACTCTGTAAACTTTGCGAATTTAGCTGTTGAATTGATGTATGATATGACAAACCATAGTGAAGAATGGCCATTGAAGAGCCAAAAGGCTGCACTCGTTGCTGAGGTTCTTATAACGTTACCTCTTATTTGGTTTAATTAGTTTTTGTCTTTGTGTGCAGATTGTTAGAAGAGAAGGTATACAACTATGGCAAGAACTGCTGCCATCTTTGACTTCCATATCCAACCAAGGTCCTGTGCAGGTGAGTTCAACTCAGCATCTTTAGCTCCACTGGAACCATAGTTTCCTGTTATGGTTCCTGCTGAAGCCTGCATATGGTAATTTTGGATTTGCCCTTCTCGGATTAGGCTGAGTTGGTTTCAATGATGTTGAGGTGGCTTCCCGAAGATATTACAGTTCACAATGAAGATTTGGAAGGTAGGAAGGAATTATCTTGCTGGCAAATTTTTCCGTGTTACATTTTTGCATGCTTCGTGGGAACTCTTCATTTTGAACACTGGAAATCCTGTAGCTCATTTGCTGATTTCTTCAGGGGATTATAATTTATGGGTTGGTTCTTCAGAAAAAGGAGGGCCAAAATAAATTATGGGGCTTACCATAAATTCTTTAAACCTCGAGAAATAACGATCAATAGTTCTTGCATGTGTCCTGTTGAGATAAAGACATAAAGTTATATATTGTTTACTTGCTTTCCTAAATTTATTTTGTGATTCTAATGTATGCTTAGGTGATCGTCGGCGCCTATTATTAAGGGGGCTTACGGAGTCTTTACCGGATATTTTGCCATTGTTATACACTGTATACCTCTGAACTTACCTCTGCTATGTTTTAGTGCTCTTTGTTTAGCATAATTGTAATGCCTTAGACATTAATGCAGATACTAGAACGGCACTTTGGAGCTGCATTAAGTGAAGTGAGTCGGCAGCACATGGGTGTAGCAAAACAGCATGCTTCAACTGTGGCTGCTGCTCTGAATGCTATTAATGCATACGCCGAGTGGGCTCCTTTGGCTGATCTAGCTAAATTCGGTATAATCCATGGGTATGACGCTGCGAAAAAGTCAAGAGAGAAATTTTCATCATTCTATGCTTTCATCCTTTTCTCACTTCCTGCATGCCTGTGGGGTTTCTTTTGTCTTTCTAGGTGTGGTTTCTTGCTTTCAGCTGCAGATTTCCGTCTTCATGCCTGTGAATTTTTCAAACTTGTCTCTTCAAGGTAAATACCGTCTAGTATTCTGAATGCCTAACAAATGAGACTTATGAGGTTGTAATGTGCTCCTTAATATTATCGGGACTTTCAGGAAAAGGCCAGCGGATACTTCTGCTTCAGAATATGATTCTGCAATTATTAGCATCTTCCAGATTCTGATGCAGGTGTCTAGAGAACTTTTGTACAAGTCTACCTCAACCGCGGGTTCTGTGGATGAGAATGAATTCGAGTTTGCTGAATACATATGCGAAAGCATTGTGTCTTTGGGCTCTACTAATTTGCAATGCATTACTGGAAACAGTTCTATGTTATCTATTTACTTACAACAGGTAACTTATGTTAAGTGTACCAAATGGCTGTCCAATTTGATTAGTCAAAATGTTAATAGTTTGAGGATAGCTGATAATCCAACTCTATTTGTTTTAGATGCTCGGATTTTTCCAACATTATAAACTCGGTCTTCATTATCAGTCGCTGCTCTTTTGGCTGGTACGTTGAACAATTTGCAGATCATTTGCACATTCTGTGGCCTTTTATTTAGGCTTGCTGATTTTTCTCCTTCTGTTTAAGGCACTAATGAGGGATTTAGTGATGAAGCCAAAAGTTACATCAGCTCCATCTGGTGATGTCTCTGGTTCTGCTCAGCTTGACAATGAGAAACAAATGATTTTGAGTCTTGTTAATGAGGATATCTGTGGTCCAATCCTAGATGTCTCTTTCCAGCGCATGATTAGAAGAGAGAAAGCATTTCCTGGGTCTTCTTTTGCTCCAGTTACCTTGGAGTTGTGGAGTGATGATTTCGAAGGGAAGGGAGACTTTAGCCAGTATCGTTCTAAGCTAGTAAGTCTTCTTGTATATGTATATAATAACTATTGTTTGATTTTTGTATTATGTTCCTTTTTCTCTGAGATTCACACTTGTATTCTCTTCTTGCTTGTACGATGCAGTTAGAGCTCATGAAGCTTATTGCATCCTTGAAGCCCATATTAGCTAGTAGTAAAGTGTCCGACAGAGTTTTTTTAATCATTAACACCCCCTTCGCTTCCCTGGTTCCTCTTCAGGTGTGACGATAACCCTTTTGGATACATAATTGGTGGATTTTCTGTATACTGTACTGTCACTAAAGGCTTAAACTTGATCTCAATTTTCAGGACCTAGCTATGATGGAGAGCGTCCAAGTCTCTCTAGAAAATATAGTTGCTTCAGTATTTGATGGATCAAATGAATTTTCTGGGGGTGGTACTGAACTCCATCTTGCATTGTGCAGAATATTTGAAGGTATCTTATAAACCTTTTTTTCCTATTGAACCGATCCTTCAAGTTTGAATATTTTCTGATATGAACCTTTGAATGTGAATTGAAGGTTTGCTTCAGCACCTTCTATCCCTTAAATGGTCAGAGCCAGCTCTTGTGGAAATCCTAGGGCGCTATATGGATGCATTAGGTCCTTTCATGAAGTACTATCCTGATGCTGTTGGTGGTGTCATTAACAAACTATTTGGGCTTCTAACATCTCTTCCTTGTGTTATGAAGGTTCTTACTCAACACCAATCTTTTGTTTTCTGTTTATCACTATGTTAATATTTAATAGTCGTAAGTTAATGTTATCATTATTTTCATTTGGCAGGACCCCTCAACGAGTGGTGCAAGGAATGCAAGGTTACAGATCTGTACTTCGTTCATACGAATAGCAAAATCTGCTGATAAAAGCATCTTGCCCCACATGAAGGTGAATTAGTTCCCTTGTACCTTTCCTTTTTGTTTATTTCTCCATTGATCTTACGTTCTAAACCCATAACAGTGGGCTATGAAAAGTACAATGAAAGAAGGGCGTGAATGTGATGATCTCCTGTAAACTTTTATTTCCTACAAGTGCATCCCTTCAGCAATTGTTTGTGAAGTTTGAAGACTTGTTCCATCTTTGTTATGTAGGGTATAGCAGATACTATGGGTTATATGCAAAGGGAGGGCTGTTTGCTTCGCAGTGAACACAATCTTCTGGGAGAAGCATTCCTTATCATGGCTTCTGCTGCTGGGTAACATCTTTGCCTCAACAGGCCCATGGTTGTACCTTTTTTGACAAATAATAATGGATAATGTGCTAATTCTTGTGTACTGCTTGATTTGATGTAGGCTTCAACAACAACAGGAGGTTTTGAACTGGTTACTCGAACCATTAAGCCAGCAGTGGGTGCAATTGGAATGGCAAAACAGTTATTTATCCGAACCATTAGGTGTAGTTCGTTTATGCTTGGACACATCATTAATGTGGTCAATTTTTCACACAGTCACGTTATTTGAAAGGGTGCTTAAAAGGAGTGGGTTCAAGAAGGACAATTTGAACTCAGAGAACAGCTCTATGCAGCATCCTTTGAGTTCTCATCTAGCTTGGATGCTGCCTCCTCTCTTAAAAGTACGGTGCCTCAATTCTAAAGGAGAAATGTCCATCTTTTCCCTGCATTTGAATGCAACTGATGCTTCTTTGGTTCAATGTTGATATGCAGCTTCTTCGTGCTTTGCATGCCCTTTGGTCTCCATCTATATCTCAAACTTTACCAGCAGAGGTAAAAGCTGCCATGATGATAACTGATGCAGAGAAATACAGTCTTCTTGGAGAAGGCAACCCCAAAATATCGAAGACATCGCTTACTTTCACTGATAGTTCTCAAGCCGACACAGAGGCAAATGAGGTTGATATAAGGAATTGGTTAAAAGGAATCAGGGACAGTGGGTAAGCATGATTTACTTTTGGAATTCCATTTCTTCTATCAAAACTTAAAACTTTTGCTCTCCATCGTTTTATGTAGTTCTCAGCACACTGTGTACATGAGTCTTTCTCTGGTTTCAGTTACAATGTGTTGGGCATGGCAACAACAATTGGGCATCCATTTTTCAAGTGCTTCGACATTGACTCAGTTGCATTGGCACTCATGGAGAATATACAGTCAGCAGAGTTCAGACATTTGAGGCAGCTCATACATTCAGTGTTGGCCCATTTGGTGAAATCTTGCCCTCCAGAAATGTGGGAGATTTGGCTGGAGAAGCTTCTCCATCCTTTACTCATCCACCTGCATCAAGTTCTCAGCTTCTCTTGGTCCAGTCTTTTGCATGAAGGCAGAGCTAAAGCTCCAGACGTGCAGTGCATCCTTGCCACATCAGATTTGAAAGTGGAAGTAATGGAGGAGAAGCTGCTCCGAGATTTAACTCGTGAGATGTGTGCTCTTCTATCAATCATGGCATCGCCAAGTCTTAATACAGGGCTCCCGTCTTTAGACCAATCTGGGCATATTAACCGCTTGGTGGATACTTCTTCTCTAAAGGACTTGGATTCTTTTCTCTCAAACTCCATGGTCGCGTACGTAGCAATAAACATCCTTAAGTCTTATGTTTAGTGATGTCGGTAGGGTTGTGCATGATCTGAATCAAGATAGGACCGGATTAAATGACTTTCTTTCCATCTGGTTCGGCATGTGCGCACCCATACTACTTAAATATTTACTCTATATTTTTGTGCTCATACCTCAAGTTCTTTTTTATTAATCTTTGGCAGTTTCATGTTGAAGCACAATAGCTTGGCGATCCCAGTGTTGCAGATTTGTATCGAGGCTTTCTCATGGACGGTTGGTGAGTCCATGACAAAAGTTTGTTCCTTTTGTGCTGCTGTGGTTGTTCTATCAATCTCAACTAGAAATGTCGAGCTACAGAAGTTTGTCTGCAAGGATCTTTTCTCGGCAGCCATCAAAGGTTTGACGCTCGAGTCGAATGCTATAATCAGTGCAGATTTGGTTGGTCTTTGTCGCGATATCTTCATCTATCTTTGCGACAGGGATCCTGCTCCGAGACAGGTACTTATCTTGGAACTTTCTTTTAGATATTTCATATTTAGGATCTAATGATAGTGCATCTAGTCTGGCTCTGGCAGTTGGATGGGAAATGTGATGTTTTCCCCGTATCTGTCCCCAGGTTCTACTCTCTCTTCCATGCATCTCACCTCTCGATTTGGCTGCTTTTGAGGAAGCTTTGACCAAGACGTTGAGTCCAAAGGAACAGAAGCAGCTCATGAGGAGCTTACTCATGTTAGCTACTGGGAACAAGTTGAAGGCTCTCGCTGCCCAGAAAACTGTAAATGTCATCACAAACGTTACAGGTAAAGTTCAACAGCACAGGTTTTTGACTGAAGTTTTATGAGTGGTGTGATTTGGATCTTTAACTCCGTGTCTTCTTGCACTTCTGACTTCCAGCAAGGCCTCGTAGCGCGGTAACTGCTGCAACAGAGGCAAGAATTGATGATGGGGAGCCCGTGGGTCTGGCAGCTATAATGTGAAAGGGTTTTGATATGGTTCACACGGTGCAGAATGTACAGCAAAATCACAGTTCTAACAGGAAAGGAGGAAGTTACTAATGACAAGACAGAATACACCAGTGGTAGAGAAGAGAATTTATAGAAGGAGAAAGAAAGGGCAAAGCTTTTATTTTGCCTCCTAATTAACTACGTAGAGAATGATGTTATGTGGCAGAAAAGAGTTACATGCTGTATTGTATAACAGGAAAGTTTGGTGTTTTTGAAAGAGAGGTACTTAGGAGAGTAGTAGTTGTGAATGGTAGGTGGGAAGAAGAGCAGCTGGGGAAAATATTGGAATGGACAGTTGGAACTTGAAACTTGAGTCCATTTCCCCATCTGCCTTCCTAAGTTTCAAGCAGCTTTTGGTCTATAAAAGGATGTGAAGCCGAGTTTCTGTTCCCCCTGTAAAGTTTGAGTCTTTTGGCTCTAGGCAGGAACTCTGATTGTTTGTGACCGCCCGCCGGTGGTTGATCGTCGTTCATTTCCTGCTTGACAAGGTTAGATCGGAATGGGACCGGGCGGTTGGGCCCCGCCGGGACCGGGTGGACCTGGGCCTGGACCAGGGCCGGGCGGGCTGTTTGGTGGGCTCTGTAATATCATAGGCTGTTGGTATGTTACGTCGATTATTTATTTTATATTTTCTCATCATTTGGACAGATTGGTAGTATCAATGTGAAAATGTACTTGTTACTTGTTAGTTATTCCAAGACTGCTTCCTTTTTGCAGCCTGAATTTTCTGTGCTGTTGCTGGTTATTCCAAGACTGCTTCGGTGGTGGTCCACTGGGGCTTCCTTTTCCTGCACCTGGCCCAATGGGCCCTCCATTTGCTCCTCCTGGCCCGATGGGCCCGCCTCCTCCTTGATCAGCTTCAACTCTGCATTAGTTTGGGAAAAAAGAAAAAAAACTCTGCATTAGGAACATTTCAAGATCGCCATGTTTTCTTGGCCTCGTGCTGGAATGTATTTACCAAAATGAAATAAAGACACTGCTTGTTATAATTCTTGAGGTATCATAGCGGTAGATTTCATTTCAACCTCTTCAAGTAACAGTAGTTTTCAATTTGCGGATCTAATGTTAAGGTGGCTTTAGTCACTACAAACCACTCTATTTTTTTTTATTTACGAAAAAGATCACTTGTATTATCAAGAATAGCAAAGTTACATCAACCCGACTTTCGAGCTCAGCAACACTCGGAAATCAAAGCCATTACCCCCTGCAGGAAACAAATTCAGGGCCTTCTAGGCCACCAAATGGGCCACCATATTCTTCTGTCTACCTACAAATTTAACGCTAAACCCCGAGTGAGCATCAAGAAGCAGGCGAACTTTCTGAAAAATTGCCCCGGCCTTCGCTTCCTTAGTGATCCTGGCGTTAACTTTGTCAATCACTACCTTGGCATCCCCGAAGAACCCGACATTATGAAGCCCTACCCCCACACACCATCGCATCGCGGAAAGCCTGCAACTCCACCAACATTGGATCCGCCACACCATCATTAACTTGCTCCTTTGATCATCACGACCATACCGACATCATCCCGAAGCATGAAGCCCACTGAACCATGTGAATCATGATAGACCGCCCCATCAAACAAACACACGAACTCTCCCGACAAAGCTTTCGACTACCCAACCTGTTCCACCGGATCGGTAGAGACTGACACGTTACTGTTAGGGAGAGTAGCCACCCACTCCTCAACTTAGAAATTTAAACTGCCTCTCCAACACACTGAATGAACCCTGTTGCCCTTCAAAGGCCACCAAATTCATGGACTTCCAGATTACGCACAAGAGATGAACTACCTTGTGTGAAGAAAACTACAAACGTTAAACCCTGTAGGGATTCCAATTGCATACTCGTGATATATGAAGGAAAGAAACGTGAGTTCCATCCTTCTCTTCTCTCCCTGTCCGTCAATCTTTAATTGAAACTCTCCCTCTATAACATAATCCACTCCCCTTCCTTTAGAATAATTCACTTCAGTAGGATACCCTTATGAATTAGCTCAATTGATGGTAAAGATCAAAGTGCATGTATCATATCTATGAGTCTATTTGCGGGTTAATTTCACAAATATATTTTTTTTTAATTTTATCACCAATTTTGCGAGAATCTAGTTCTGAGTATACATCGTAATGACGAAACAGTACAAGATAGTGATATGATCATAGATTTCACTTACATACATCCAGAATGGCAGAATGGTGTCCTATCCAATTATGCGATTCCTATTGTGGATGATGATAGTATGAATGTGCTTTTCAATTTTATTGCACAAAACCCTTATTGTTTCGGTGTCGAGATACATGCTGAGATTAATCAAGGTCAGGGTGAAGATGAGACATGGAGTGTGCCATCTAATCATGACTATGATGACGGAGAGGAGGAAGATGGGGAGGAGGAGGAGGAAGAAGAAGAAGAGCCTAATTATCCTCCGGATTTTTACTTGCAGGGTAATGAAGAGGACGATGATTATCATATGCCGTAATTCCAATGCCTATTGTTCCTGGTTTCGAAGGAGAATTCTACAAGGGGCAGATCTTTCACTCCATACAAGCTGCACAGGTGGCGATTAAATATCACACACTACAACGCAACTTTCAGTATGTCGTGGTGGAGTCGACATCTTCAATCTGGAAGGTCAAATGCTTGAAGCACAAGGATGACAATTGTGCTTGGATGGTGCGGTTTGGATGTCGAGATGTTGGAAGTGAATGGACTGTGAGAAAGGCCGATTGATGCATTCTTGTAGCAGTACGAATCAACCGACGGATCATCGTCATCTTGATGTCCACGTTATATCTAAGTCTGTGAAGCATTTGGTACGTGCCCAACCAAATATGAGTATAATAACATATTGATTAATTATTTTAGATTATATTTATGTTTGAATTATTGCAACAAATGAATTGTAGTCAAATTGTAAATATGTTTATTAATAACATGTTTATTAATAACATGTTTATTAATATGTTCTCTCTCTAAAATATTAAGGGAGACCTGCTTTGGATCTGCCATTGCATGCATGTAGAATCTATTTATAAAGATAAAATATAGGCTTAATTCACCTACATAGCCATAACTTTTGCGTTATTGACAATAATAGCCACTTTTTGAAAAATACATAGATATAAATTTACATACTTGTAATAATCAAATTAGTTGATTTATAAGTATATATCTTGTGTTGGTATTATACAAACAGTTTAGAAAGTAGAATATCTATATCCCATACAACAAACCTTATAACCCTAAACCCATGAAATAATCAAAGTAGTTCTATAGCTAGATCAAATATGTTGCTTGTATAAAAAAGATCATCTGCACTGTTTATCATGGTTTGCCAACAAGGTTAAACCAGTGTTGTTAAATTAGTTGGGGGCAAGCTCGTGTCAACTCTACTCATTAGCTGCCCTGCATATAGCTAGATCAATTATAGTGTTTTATCATAAATTTCAACGTGGTCATACCGTTAATCAAATAAATCTCGATCAATGGGGTCATATGATATTTAAATTTCTTTTAATGATTAGTTCAAATATACTTTGATAGTCCCAAATTACAAGATACAGCATTTACACGACATAAATTCATGTGCTTAATCCCAAAAGTTTAAGTATATACTTAAAGCAATTTTATTAGCTAATAAAAAACTAGATAATTAGTGAGGAGTTAGTAGTTAATAAATAGTTAAGGGTATTTAAGTAATTGGCATATTTTTTTCTTAAATATCTCGGCCAAACTAGGGATGGCAATTGAGATCCGCTCTGTTGGATATTACCCGATCTGATTTGTGTTGGGGCGGATAAAATCCGACCCGTATTAGAACATGGAGGATTTTGATCTGATCCGTAGCTAAATAGAGCGGGGCATGGATTACCTCTGCTGCCCCGACTTGCTCCGCTCTGCTCCAAACATTTCACACTTCACGAACACCAAAAAAATCCCCATCATCTCAACCCTACACCTTTGTCTCCTTGGTCCATGTACTAAGAAAAGCATCTACCTTTCTCGATTCTTTCCAACCCACATAAATCATAATAAATGAATTACCTTCCCAATATGCGCTTCATCTTCCTTTCCAATTTTGCCTCCTTACTTCCGTTTGCCTTGAGTGCTTTCTTCTACCCTCTTGTATCTTCTGCTAATATCTCCCCCCTGTCGCTTTATTCTTTTCTTAGGCTATACGCCACTAGTGTTCTCTATACAGAATCAAAACAAGAATTTGATCATAATGATTCAAGTTTGGGCATTGTTATAGAAGGGTCTCTAAGTTTGCGAGAGTTACGGTGGGTTTTCTCTTCGATGCTCTTCAGAATGATGTGGAGAGATGATGGCCGATTTTGGTCAGATTCTTAGAAAGGAGAAAAAAGTTTATAGCCTTAGAACTACTCCCTTCTTCCTATGCGATTCTACCGCTTCTTCTCCTGACGCTAGCTCTGGTCGGGAAATCAAACTCCTCTACCGCTCTGCCTCTTCTTCTTCAGACCCCTCCATTGGTTGGAAAATAAAAGAAAATGTAATTCCAGTTAGCCGGCAGATCATAGCGGGTATTATCCGACCCGTGCGGGGCAGTGAGTGGATCAGAATTTGGTGATCCGTCTCGGAGCACTGAGCAGAGCGGATCCGCGTTTTAGGAGGCAGGGTAGGGCACGGATTCACTATGATCCGCCCCAAACCTGCCCCGTTGCCATCCCTAGCCAACTCATCCAACCTTTCTTGTTCTTATTCCAACCACCATTACCATATTTGCCGCTCACCATTAAGATTTCCCCTTCTTCATCATCTTCTCAAATGTCCATTTTTAAAACTTCATATATTAATTTTAAATTTCTTTGAATAATAATATTAATTTTAAATTCCCATTTAATTGTATTAATATTTTTATAATATCTTATTTTCCCTCTTCGTTTACGTCGTTAATAAAGTTTACGTCCTATACTTTTGATAAAATTTTCATTTAATTTTCAATATAAGTATTAACGTCATTAACAAAGATTATACCCAATAGTTTTGGTTGAAAAATGACGTGATATCGTAAGACGTTGAATATAATTTTGAAAGCGATAATAATAATGTTTTCTATCGTTAATAATACCAGGCATTAATGTTGATAACACTGTGATCAATTGATAAAAAAAATTATCCAAAAAATGTTGATAATACCTTGAAGCAACACTACCATGTGTTTGCACCATTGAAGTGATTATTAATCATTTATAGCTGATTGTTAACGAATTTATATTGATAACTGTTTGGTTAGGAACCAAGCATTGTTGATATATTTTTTTTTTATTTTCTTTTGAATGGTTTACAACAACACTGTTAATGTTTTTTATATAGGTATTGTTAATGACTTATGTTATAGTTATTAAAGTTTTCCTACTAACAATATCATATTTTGTATATTATTAATGGATGGGTATGAGCGTATCAAAATTTGAGAAAGAAATATTAATAAAATATAGCATGATTGAAGATCATTAGATCCAATCATTATCGATGATTTTGTTTGTATTTTAAATGAAACACAACTTATTTATTAATAGTATTTATGTCGTTAATCGTTATCAACATTTTGAAAAGAGAGTTGCTAATAACATGTACTATGAACATTACTCATTTAGATGCAATTAGTATCAATGATTTTACCTATATTTTCAATGCCAACATAGCTTAGTTATTAATGATTAGGTGTGTCATTATCAATGTTTTGATGTGTATTCTTATAATATTAAAGCATTCATTGATACATTGAAATTATTAATAATAACGGGTATATCATTAATAAATCATTTCATAAACGTTCATAATGTAATTGGAAGTCATTGTAAGAGGCCTCGATGGTTAGTTATGAACATGACATCAAAACGTGAATCGTAAATAGATGTTGTAGATCAATCATAGTGTTATTCAAATCATTAATGATGATGTTACATAACTTTAATAAGTCATTCACAAGTGTTGATGACGAAAATGTAAATCGTTAGCAATTGATATAAAATGGTTAATAATATAATCCTACAGAATTGATTAGTTTTTTGAAATTATTAA